ATTAACCTGGATTAGCTAGAATGACCTGTCAGGTTTCTATGTTTTTCCTATTAGCCATGTGACTGAGCATAGGTTCATAGAATAATAAACTACACTGGCTTTAAAATGAGATTGTAAAATATAAAATCCATATTTCAGAGATTAAGGAGGCACAATAGTTAAAAATAGGGCTTCAGAATCAGAAAATACAGAATTTTCAGAAAATATTTAAAATCAGAAATCCTATCTCTACCACTTACAAGCCATGTGATTTTGGGCAAGTCATTTAATATTTGAGACTTTATTCCTTCAGTTGTAAAATGAGATGGTAGTATCTACCCCTAGGGTGAGTGAGGAGATGCTAACAATCACAAGCAGAGCACCTGGGCCATAAAAGGTAGTTATCATTATTACGATATACCTCTCCTATTCTAATCCAGCAGCAACATCTTCACTAAGGTGATAGAATTAACTAAAGAAAATACTGGTAGTTAAAAACTTTTAAAAAAGTATTTAAAAAAGTATTAAAAAGTATTATCATAATGGATATTTCAGCCATATATATACACATATATATATATAAGTGTAATTATATAATAAATACTGGTATACCCACCACTAAGTTTTATAAAAAAAATCAAAATAATTTTATTTAAATTTTGTTTTTCAATCAGACTTGGGATCTTGAAAAACAAAATTTGCGTGCTGTCTTCTATTTAGCTAAGAGTACCTCACAATACATTCAACAGCCTCACTCTACATTTCAAGTACTTTGTCAGGCAATTACTAAGTAGTCTTTTTTAATACTGTGAGCACTATTGTTTTTCTTGTCAATCCATCCTTTTCTTATAAAATTCCTTCTGTTAACTGCTTATACTCTGGAGTTGGCATCTTTTTCCAAGTTATACCCTTTGTACTTGTACAGCCATTCATTAATCCTCTTCTTCCCTTCATTTGAAATTGCCCTAACATCTACATTGGTACAATGAATACTGATTTACTTCATATATTGTTAGGAGGAGGTGGGATGGAGGTCTGAATCCTACTCCTCTTTTCTTCCTATCTCCTTGGTATTCACTTAAAAAATTTTAAACTGCAACAAGAAAAATTGGAAGACAAATTTAAAAAGAATAAATAAAATCCAATGCTGACATTTATGTTTACTACATGCTAGATACTATTCTAAGCATTTATGTTATGTTCTCAAATACTCTTAAATAATCTTCAATAATCTTAAGTAATCACATAACCATGTGTTATTGCATATTACTATTTTACTATCCCTTATTTAGAGATGTGGAAACTAAAGCACAGTCAAGTGACAGACCTTATCCAGAGGCCTATTTAACTACCATATTATAAAACTTCACTATTATATCAAACTTCTACTATTTCATTCAGTGCAATTAGACCAACATTAGAAGTTACACGTGTGAGTTTCATCTGTGTGGAGACAATTACCACTTACCTCCACTAGTGTACATGGCACAGAAGTAATCACTACAGGCAGCCCACAATCCGATGGGCAGGGAAGTCTTTCTGTTCTACTCTCAATGTCAACATCACAGAGGGTATTGCTCTTCCTGAGTGAGTTCATTGAGTTGAGGATGGATTTAGCATGAGTATTCGTCATTATGTCTTTGGGGGCCATAATGTCTCCCATCAAGCAATATGGAGAAAGAACAAAAGGGGCCTTGGATTCTGCAACTATAGAAAAAAGATGTAGATATTTGAAGAACCTGGGAAACTGAACACATTTATGCTTTGCAAATTAAGGACAAAGAAAAGGCTTCCTCAGACTCGAACATCTACAAATAGAGAACACTCCTATTCTTGGCATCACACCACAATCTAGCCAGTAACTATCCCAAGTAAAAGTACCTCTTCTTCCTCTGAATCCTGTATAGACTAAGTGCCCCATCACTTGACATTTATTGTAATCAATGCTCTATTTGTAAGTAGGAAAAACTACATATGTTCTTTATATATCTTAACAAGGTTCTTGTCTCAAATGATAAAAAGAAAGGGTGATATCACTTATTCAATAACCCTAAGCAGATAAATATTAATGTTTAGAGGGTAAGGATCCTGTTTATATATTTTTGTATAGAAGGTATACAATTAAATGTTTTAGTAAACTGAATATGCGAAAAATCATGTTTTAGAGAAAGCCGAATCAGGGAAAATAACATTTTTCAAAAGCTTTTCAAAAAGCAGCCATGCAAAGAATTATGTATGATTTGAAAATATATCTGGATTTCTCTAAAATGAAACTTCAAATGAGACCTTGTACTTACACTGAATAGTGGAAACCATGCAAGCTATTAAAGCTCTTCAATAGGAAGGCGTTCCATTAGTAAATGTTCATCATTGTTAACAGATCAATATTTATAATTCTTCTATACTCAAACAAAGAGTTTTACTTAGATATAAACCTATCCAAACTCCTCTACCACCAATTTTACTGCCATATCCTGTTATTTTAAAAGTTCACTTGTATGCATCCTTTAAATTAGAGACTCATTATGATTACATTTTTTAAAAATCAAGGTAAGAGAACTTCGTTGATTGCTGAACCTTTATTTATTTTAGTAGTAATTAGGTTAGTTCAGTCTCTGTAGAGACGTGTCAAAAATTGCAAGTCGGTCAATGGGCGTATTGAAAATTTTCATAACAATGCGTGCCTTGGATAAAACCTCATTAGCTAATACTCACTGCACAAGCTACTGGCTGAACATTTTAGTCATACTATGTTTTTTATTTTTATGCTTCAGGACATTTCTGGGAATGAACTGGAGTTGGATATAGAGTGTATCTTATTTGGAATCCTAAAGTTCTGAATGATCAGGGGAAAAAAAATCCGTGTGCTTCCAAGCCGACAACTCATTTTGTTTTAGAGATGGGTCTTGCTATGATGCCCAGGCTGACTCGACTTGTGGGCTCAAGGGGATCCTACCACACTCGGTCTCCGAGCAGCTGGATACAGTGCACAAGCCCAGCTCATAATTATAACAGGTAAAACCAAGATCCACCCCTACCTCCTTCATCTACTGATTTCAGTTAGCGTATTTATTCCATGAGGCACTCTAAGATACCCCCTCCAATAACTCTGCAAGATCCATTTTCGAAAAGGGGAGGTGTTCATCACAAGCATATGATGTTTTTTAAAAAATGTTTCCCTTAGTCAGTTAGTTTCAAACTCTGGGATGGTACAGAATGGCCTGAGCAAAAGTCCATTCCACTGTGAAGATTATCCTGGGGGTTACACAGGGCTCGGCTTCAGAGGTTCAGTGTCGAAACTGGCAGAGTCGCTCTTTCTTCTGGGATCTGCCCCACCGAAGTTCCAGCACACCGCACCTTTCCCGAAGTGATCTATTCTAGAACGTCCGGCTAACATCTGAATTGAGAGGTTTCCCACCACGGCAGATTCGGAGCGGGTGAGGGGTATAATTCTGGAAAGACTGAATTCCAGGAAGGGAGCGAGGTCCTTTCTCCCTGACAAGCCCGGCAATCCAGCGGGGCACCGCCGCGCGGAGGTGTCGAGGCGCTCCGTTAAAATCAGCTTGTATAATATAACATTGCAGATCCCTGTCTTATCCTATACTGTTCTCCACTATAACTGCCCAAGAGCATCAGAAGCAGTGGGCATTTAACTGAGTAAGGAGAGTGTCACCCAGCAGCTGCTGAACATGAAATGAACTAGGACTGCTGACTGCTAATTATATATTATGCATCCTATTTTTGTCAACTTGAAAAAATTTGGGCCAGGCATGGTGGCTTATGCCTGCAATCCCAGCATTTTGGGAGGCCCAGGTGAGAGGATTGCTTGAGCCCAGGAATTCAGGACCACCTTGGGCAACTAATAGTGAGACCCCATCTCTACAAAAAATGGAAAAACTAGCTGGGCATGGTGGCACATGCCTATAGTTCCAGCTACTTGGTGGGCTCAGGCGGGCAGATTGCTACGGTCCAGGATTTGAGGTTGGAGTGAGCTCTGATGATGCCGCTACACTGTAGCCTGGGTGAGAGAGCAAAATCTTGCCTGAAAAAAAAAAAGAAAGAAAAAATTTTATCTTCGGGGGGAAATGGGCATTTATTGAAACCTTAAAATCTGTATCCCCATAATATGCTGAAATTAAAAAAAAAAAAAAAGAAATGAAAAAAAAAATTTGTCTTCTTTTTTTACACATTCAGAAATTAGTATAGGCTGGGCATGGTGGCTCATGCCTGTAATCCTAGCACTCTGGGAGGCCGAGACGGGCAGATCACTGGAGGTCAGGAGTTCAAAACCAGCTTGAGCAAAAGTGAGACCCCGTCTCTACTAAAAATAGAAAGAAATTAATTGGCCAACTAATATATATAGAAAAAAAAATTAGCTGGGTATGGTGGCGCATGCCTGTAGTCCCAGCCACTCGGGAGGCTGAGGCAGCAGGATTACTTGAGCCCAGGAGTTTGAGGTTGCTGTGAGCTAGGCTGATGCCATGGCACTCATCAAGCTGGCACACAAAGTGAGACTCTGTCTCAAAAATAAAAATAAATAAATACAATAAAACCGTCAACTCAAAGTGTACACATTCCTTTTTCTCCACAGGTTTTTTTTTTTTTTTCTTCCCTCCTGCAGGTTTGTGCTGTTTCTGTTTTTGGGAATCTTGACCATGCTTAGACCAAATATGTACTTCATGGCCCCTCTACAGGAGAAGGTGGTTTTGGGATGTTCTTTGGGTGCAGTGCTCTGCCTCAGCTTCTCCTGGCTCTTCCACACGTTATTGTCATTCAGAGAAAGTCTCTCGGACTTTTTCCAAGTGAGTTGAAAGAACAGTAAAAAAGACTGTGCACTGTTGTCACATCTCGTGATTCCAGTGCTGCTGACTGGCTGGGAATTCCTATAACTCCTAAAAATTCCCTGATGCACCAGAGGAAAAGGTTTTCTGCTCTGTGGTAAAGTAGGTGATGAAGCATTTCTCTTAAACACTTCATGAAAAAACAACTGTAGCCTCCTCGACAGATGGAAGCCAATTGTGGAATACTTTGCTACCTGAACAGTACCATCTTTTGTGAACTTGGGTGCCTTGGGCCTTTCCAAGAGCTCGTACCCAAACTACCTTACTATCCTACTGGCCCAAGCCCAAGTAGGGTGTGTAAGCAGTACCACTCTACCCATCAGCCACATAGACTTATCTTTGCTGTCCATGCGTGGCTGGAAGCCCAGGTGCCATCTAAGCTTTCCCTGTTCCCCAACTCGGAGTCTGGTTTTTGTTTGTTTACTTGTTTTGTTATTGTTGGTTTTGGTGTGTGGTGGATCATTTTGTTTTCCCAATAACACCAGTTGCAAGATACATTTTCGTCATTTAAAGTCGACTAAGCCAGACAAACTAAAGTACCCTTAAACTCCCAATCTAGCATTTTGTTTTTAGAACTCATCCTATTAGATGGGGGAATATTGAGAGCCCTTCTTAGTGTGATGCTGGAACCAGCTGGTTGTGATGGAACTTCTAAATTCAAGTATCTGCTAGGGACATATAGCTGTTCGTCACTAAGAAAGGGATAGAGTTCTGTGAGCAGGGATTCTAGAGACTTTTCCATTATAAAATAGAGTGCTTGACCTTGTGAAATTTTAATCCAGAATATAGGAAGATTGTATGGGAAGTGAGGGAAACTAGGGATGGTTAAATGTGGAGCAGGTAGAGAAAAGAAACAACTATTAAATGAATTCCTGAGAATTCATTTCACCTACTGATTTCATTTTTGTGGTTCCTTTTAGACTGGACTATTCAGGGATCGCTCTACGCTGGATTAGGGAGCTTTGTCCCCTGGCTCTATTACTCCTTCTACTGCTCCCCACAGCCACGGCTCATCTACCTCTCCATCGTTTGTGTCCTGGGCATTTCTGCCATCATTGTGGCACAGTGGGACCGGTTTGCCACTCCTAAGCACCGGCAGACGAGAGCAGGTGGGTAGGAAGGCATATGTAAACCTCAGAGGTATTTGGATGTTGAGCCTGATAGGCTCAACCCTGGGCCTTAGGTTTGCAGTTTGGGAATCCCACCCAAACCCTGATCTGTGTTTAGAACTTTCAGAACAGCAAGAATTTTCAAAACTCAATCATCCCCCTAGTGTTGTACTATTTCATTAGAATGCTAATACATCGGATCATTACCCACTTGGTCATTTAACTGCAAGCATAGATATGACAGCTCTAATACTTGGTTTAAGACAGTTTAAAAATATAGCAAGCACAGTCATTTTAGTGATCTGAGTCCTAAGCACTCAGACCAAGAGATTACAATTAAAATACCCTGAGGCATTTTATTAAAGGAGTGGAGTGCCTGGTTTGGGGAATAAAATACCTTGAACATAAACACTGATAACAAGTAATGTAATAGCTATAACCATAAACATCTTTGTTTTGTCTGGCCTCTTAGTTTAAGCTTTTATTACTTGGAGCAATACTTCCAATTACCACTAGTCTTCAGCCACTTCAGACTTACTTATCTGCTGTTTTAACCTTCAGTTAAAAAAATTAAATATTTATCAAGCACCAACCATGTGGCATGCACCATGCCTAAACAAGGGAGATGTCCTACCAAGATGGAGAAGTAGCTATGTACTGTGTAGTGGTGCTGGGACAAGTACCCATTCTTCTCTTACTCTGCCCATATTTGTATGTCCCAGCAGCTACAGGACAACTGCTGACCTGGGTGTATCTATCTACTCAGGAGGTCAGAGTCCTGGTTACATAAATCTTATATGATCTTAATGGGAAACTATCCAATTCTTTGCTGACTCGGGAGCCAACTAAAGCTTTGCCATCTAGTTTCTGTACCCAAGTTAGCCATCAGAGGGTTTGAACATACTATTTTTGCCCAGACTCCTTAACAGATGAAGAATACTAGATGTTTGTTCCTTAAAAGGTAATAGGTCTATAAGCACTTATACAGCCTTCTTCCCATTCTGGATGTTGATTATTATCCATCTTGTTGCTAAATTTCCTAAACATGTACTGTTCACCAAAAATTGGCTAATTGTCATAAACATTTGGATTCTAGAGTAAGACAACAGTGCCTTCCATGTTGTGGCTGTTTCCTTGCGTGACGATCTTGTGTCTGCTCTGCTCTGTTCAGGAGTGTTCCTGGGACTTGGTCTGAGTGGTGTGGTGCCCACCATGCACTTCACCATCGCGGAGGGCTTCGTCAAGGCCACCACGGTGGGCCAGATGGGCTGGTTCTTCCTCATGGCTGTGATGTACATCACTGGAGCTGGCCTTTACGCTGCTCGAATTCCTGAGCGCTTCTTTCCTGGCAAATTTGACATATGGGTAAGAAATGAGTCTTCCAGCAGGGCCTGTGATGGTGAGTGACCAGTCCAAAGTTAAAGGTCTGAGTGAAAGGGGGCAAGAGAGTTGCCTACAGATCGTGTAGTGTTTGGGGATACAGATATGTACCCTGGTGGAAAATAGCCAATATTAACATCTTGGTATGTCTCTGACAAGGAATGTGTCTTAAAATTTTTTTCTAACAAATATATCATTTTTATGATACTAAAAAAAATTGTTTAAGGAGAAACTAGAAGAGGCAAATATGCTTTCTCCTACTTATTTCTAACTCCTCCTTGCCATTATCCTAAAGGCTTTTCTCTTTTTATTCCTGCAGTTCCAGTCTCATCAGATTTTCCACGTCCTGGTGGTGGCGGCAGCCTTTGTCCACTTCTATGGGGTCTCCAACCTTCAGGAATTCCGTTATGGCCTGGAAGGTGGCTGTACTGATGACTCCCTTCTCTGAGCCTTCCCACCTGAAGGGTGGAGGAGGAGCTTCCCAAGTGCTTTTAAAAATAACTTCTTTGCTGAAGTGAGAGGAAGAGTCTGAGTTGTCTGTTTCTAGAAGAAACCTCTTAGAGAATTCAGTACCAATCAAGCTTCAGCCCACTTTCACACCCACTGGGCAATAAACGTAACATGTCCATTCCCCTAGCTGGGGAGGGTGGGGATGGCCAAACTTAGTCATCCCCCTCCTCAGCAAGGCAACTACCGGCCCCTCACAGAGACAGTACTTTGAAACTCATGTTGAGATTTTATCCCTTCCTCCACCATTTTGGGAAGAAATTATGGACTGGGACTCTTCAGAAATTCTGGTTTTTTTCTGGAAGAAAATGTCCCTCCCTTACCCCTATCCTTACTTTGTAACCTGGCTTATAACAGGCCAGCCATTTTGTAGCACACTTTTCAAAAATGATTATATAACCTGGTCCCATCTTTCTAGGGCCTGGATCTGCTTACACAGCAGAAAGAATAAAGCCACCAACTTTTAACATTAGGGCTATCATGGAAGTGTGTCCAGGCTTCAAATAACTTGAGTTTTAATTTTTTTTTTCTTGGCAGAGTAATGTAAAATTAAAATGGGGAAAGATATTTAATATTTAATACTAAGCTTTAAAAAGAAACCTGCTATCATTGCTATGTATCTTGATGCAAAGACTATGATGATAATAAAAGAAAGTACAGAAGACACTTGGCATTCAAAGACTTAACATGTATGGTCTCGATTATTTGCACATAACCAAAGGATTAAGGCCAATAATAATATCAGATTCTGCTGAGACACAAATTTGAATCACAGGTATTGACAGGCTAACCAAATACTAGCATCTACTCAGTACAGTTTTATTTTTTTCTACTTGGCACACAGACCATCTTATTAGACAAATCAATAGGCTTAGTAGTGTTTAATAACTAGGAGACTCTCACAGGTATTAGGATATATCCCAGAATTTAGGATAAACTCACCTTGCTTAGGCTTGTTCATTGAGGGTCAGTCCATGCCATCATTTGCTTTTGTGAATGTTCTCAACCTGACATGAGTTTGGTTCACTGGATAGCCTAAGTCAGCAGTGATCAACTCTTCAGCTAATGTAGGCAGTTAAAGGGGAGTCTTTTGAGTTATAAAGTTGGTGTTAACTTCAAGGATCAAGTCTGTACAACTGGGAAAACAAATGATCCTTTTAAAAAATAATCCACCTCGCCAATACATGAAAAGTTTCTCAGCCTAAAATGGTAATCAGGGAAATGTAAACTAAAACCAAAATGATAAACCATCTCATTCTAACCACATTGGCACAAATTAAAAAGCCTAATCTTGAGTGTTGCTATGGATGTGGAACAGAGCAGGTGCTGCTAGTGGAAGTGAATTCTCTTTTCCCTCACTTCAATAGCTACGAACACCCAGAATCATCCCAGGTGTCCAAACCATAAAGGCAGGATGATGCACAGAGCCTGACTGACTCACTTTATCCAGATCAACCTTCCAGAATAGTCCTAAGAAACTCACAATAAGTTTCGGATGTTAAACGTATGGGTCAGATATCTAAATGACTGGAAATATTCTTGTATGGGAAGGATAGTGTCCCCCTAACTTAAAGACCTGATACATGCTAACACTGTACCCCTGGAGAAAAGTCAGAAGCCTGAATTAGTTCTCTCCATGTTGACTTTCTTGCTAACAGCTTCTCCATCTTTTATTCTCTGAAAAAAGAGTGAGCATATTCTAAACAAAGCCTCTTTTATTACATTCTCATATTTGGAAAAATCCTTAATTTAGCAGCCAGGCATCAGGTAATATCACTAACATGCTATTTTATATCCAGAAAACAAAGAATTATTTTTACTCTTTAAATTGTGCATATTTTTAATTCACATGATGCAAAATTCAAAAAGTAATAAAGGGGCCAGGCGTGGTGGATTACACCTGTAATCATAGCACTCTGGGAGGCCAACGCAAGAGGATCATTTGAGCTCAGGAGCTCAAGACCAGCCTGAGCAAGAGCAAGACCCCGTGTTTACTAAAAAAAATAAATTAGCTGGACAACTAAAAATATATAGAAAAACTTAGCCGGGTGTGGTGGCACATGCCTGTAGTCCCAACTACTTGGGAGGGTGAGGCAGGAGGATGGCTTGAGCCAAGGAGTTTAAGGTTGCTGTGAGCTAGGCTGGTGCCACAGCACGCTAGCCTGGGCAACAGAGTGAGACTCTGTCCTCCCCTTCAAAAAAAAAAAAACAAGTAATAGAAAAAACTCTCCTTCCTGCCCTGTCTTAGAACCAACCAGTTCCTCTCCCCAAAGAAACCAGTGTTAACTTTATTTTGTATATTTCCAAATACGTTTTATACATACAGAAGCAAATATGAATATTTCTATCTTCCCACCTTTTTACACAAATAACAGCAGACTAAACACACTGTTCACAGCTGCATGGTACTGGATTGTACAGATAACACCATACTTCTTTTTTTGAGACCAGAATCTGGCTCTGTCGTCCCCAGCTAGAGTACCCTGGCATCAGCCTAGCTCACCACAGCCTGCTATTTTTTCTATTTTTAGTAAAGCCCCCTGGGTCTCTTGCTTAGGCTCGTCTCAAACTCCTGAGCTCAAATGATCCTCCCACATCAGCCTCACAGAGTGTTAGGATTACAGGCATGAGCCACCATGCCTGGCCTGGATATACCATACTTTATTGAATCATTCCCTATTAATGGACATTTAAGGTTGTTTTCAATCTAATCTACAAACAATGCTACAGTAAACAACCTTGTACATACATCATTTTATATGTGTGCGAGTATATGTGAAGGACAGATTTAAAAATTGCTCAAAGTATATATGCATTCATAATTTTAGTAAATATTTCCAAAATACCTTCAACAGAATTTATACCGATCCTGCACTCCCCTCGACAATGTATAAATCAGCGACACTTGTGGATGAGGAAGAGCCCACACATATGGGAGATGGAAATGCTATGTAAAATTAGAATGCTGTCCTTTTGTCTATGGTTTTATTATCCTTAGGAATCAAAGGTCCATTGAGGAAAATAGTATAATTAAACAATTAGTTTGGACCTTCACGTAAGACGAACCAATGAACCTCTTTTCCTTCTTGGCCACTAAGATAAATGCACCAAAATCAATTAGGAGCAAAATTCCTAAACTGAATCCTCAGCACCCATGACCTGGTGAAAAGTCAGAATAAAGCAGTGGCGATAAGGACTTCCGGGACTTCTCTAAGAAGAGTCTTTGCAATTTCTCTCACGGTGTCCAACTTCAAGTGGCCACTAGTTCCTTCCACTTAATAGTCTCAAATAAAGGAAATAGTATCCCCTCAAGGGTGATGATGGCTCCCATTATGATGCAGAGAACGCTGAGCTTTGTGGATCGCGGGGCTCCGAGGAGTCTCACCGCAGCGTTGGTTGGCCCGAAAAGGCCATTGCGGACAATGAACTTGAAGAAACTTGAAGCCTCCGTGGGTCTGGTCGATGCGAGAGGGCTCCCGAATACCCCGCAGGTAAAACACCCTTCTGCAGTCCTATCCTTAGCACGTTAGGCCCTGGACCCTCTCAGCGGGCCGTGCCTGGCGAGCCGCGGGGTGTCGGCCTGTCACCGAGACGGAGAGCTGCACACTGCCCCGTCCCCCCGCCGGACCCCACTCCACGCCGCCTTTTTCTAGTCGGCTTCCTAGCAGCGACCTCAAGCCGGGCACCCGCGTCCGCGCGGGTCACGTGGAGCCGTGTCCTCACGTGACGCAGACCCCAGCTGGGGAGCAGGGCGGGCCTGGAGCTGCATCGCGTCATCACGTCGCGCGGCCGCGGGGAGTAGAGCCCGGACGCTCACGGTGACGGCTCCAGAGCCTCCGGGTCGGGGCGGCGGCGGCGGCGCTTCGGCTCCCCCCCGGGCCGCCTGCTGGCCCCGCGCCCCACCCCATCCCCCGGGCGGGGCACGGGCCGGCGCGGCCGGGTGGGCTCGGGAGCGGAGGTGAGTGGCGGCCGTCAGCCCTTTCCGTCCCACCCCCGGCTCCGGGTTGTGGCCCTTCCCCCATCGCCGTCTCGCTCCGAGGCAGAACTCGAGAGGAGCCGGGAGAGGAGAAAGGCTGGGGGGCGTCGTGCCCCGCGCGCCCTCCCGTCTCCCCCGGAACCGCGCCCCTCCGACACCTCCGCGCGGCGGTGCCCGCTGGATGCCCGGGCTTGTCAGGGAGAAGGACCTCGCTCCCTTCTCTGGAATTCAGTCTTTCCAGAATTTGATACCCCTCCCCCGCTCCGAATCTGCCGTGGTGGAACCTCTCAATTCAGATGTTAGCGGAAGTTCTAGAATAGATCACTTCGGAAAGGTGCGGGTGTGCTGAGACTTCGGTGGGGCAGGAATCCCCAAGAAGAAAGACGACTCTGCCAGTTTCGACACTGACCTCTGAAGCCCGAGCCCTGTGGTAACCCCCCAGGATATCTTCACAGTGAATGGACTTTTGCTCAGGCCATTCTTACATCCCCAGAGTTGAAACTAACTTGACTTAAGGGAAACATTTTTTTAAAACATCATATGCTTTGATGAATCACCTCCTTTTCTGTAAAATGGATCTTGCAGAGTTATTGGAGGGGGTATCTTAGAGTGCTCATGGAATAATACGCTAACTGTAAATCAAGTAGATGAAAAGGTAGGATCTTGGTTTTACCGTTAAAAAATTATGAGCTGGGCGTAGTGTGCACCTGTAATCCCAGCTGCTCTGGAGACTGATGTGGTAGGATCCCTTGAGCCCAGCAGTCGAGTCCAGCCTGGGCATCATAGCAAGACCCCATCTCTAAAAAAACAAAAAAATGAGTTGTGGACTTTGGAAGACCACGGATTTTTTTTCCCCCTTGGATCATTTCAAGAACTTTAGGATTCCAAATAAGATACACTCTCTATACCACCTCCATTTCATTCCCCAGAAATTGTCCCTGAAGCATAAAAATAAAAAAAATAGTATGACTAAAATGTGTCAGCAGTAGCTTTGTGCAGTGGAAGTATTAGCTAATGAGGTTTATCCAAGGCACGATTATTGTTAATTGAAAACTTTTCCCAATACCCCACCATGACGACTTGGCAATTTTTGACAGTCTCTACAGAGACTGAACTAACTAATTAACTAACTAAATAAATAAAAGGTATCAGCAATCAACGAAGTACTCCTTACCTTGATTTTTTAAAAATATGTAATCTATTAATGAGTCTATTTAAAGGATGCATACAAGTGAACTTTTAAAATAACAGGATATGGCAGTAAAGTTGGTGGTAGAGGAGTTTTGATAGGTTTATATTCTAATAAAACTCTTTGTTTGAGTATAGAAGAATTATAAATATTGATCTGTTAACAATGATGAACATTTACTAATGGAACGCCTTCCTATTGAAAAGCTTTAATAGCTTGCATGGTTTCCACTATTCAGTGTAAGTACAAGGTCCTCATTTGAAGTTTCATTTTAAGAAGAAATCCAGATATATTTGCAAATCATACATAATTCTTTGCATGCTGCTTTTGAAAAGCTTTTGAAAAATGTTTATTTTCCCTGATTCGGCTTTCTCTAAATACATGATTTTTCTCATATTCAGTTTACTAAACATTTATTGTATACCTTCTATACAAAAATATATAAAACAGGATCCTCACCCTCTAAACATTAATATTTATCTGCTTAGGGTTATTGAATAAGTGATATCACACCTTTTCATCATTTTATCATTTGAGACAAGAACCTTGTTAAGATATATAAGAGACATATGTAGTTTTTTCCTATTTACAATAGAGCATTGATTACAATAAATGTCAAGTGATAGGGCACTTAGTTATACAGGAATTCAGAGGAAGAAGAGGTACTTTTACTTGGGATAGTTACTGGCTAGATTGTGGTGGTGATGCCAAGAATAGGAGTGTTCTCTATTTGTGGATGTTCGAGTCTGAGGAAGCCTTTTCTTTGTTCCTTAATTTGCAAAGCTAGTTAAATGTGTTCAGTTTCCCAGGTTCTTCAAATATGCTTATCATCTTTTTTTCTTATAGTTGCAGAATCCAAGGCCCCCTTTTGTTCTTTCTCCATATTGCTTGATGGGAGACATTATGGCCCCCAAAGACATAATGACGAATACTCATGCTAAATCCATCCTCAACTCAATGAACTCACTCAGGAAGAGCAATACCCTCTGTGATGTGACATTGAGAGTAGAACAGAAAGACTTCCCTGCCCATCGGATTGTGCTGGCTGCCTGTAGTGATTACTTCTGTGCCATGTTCACTAGTGAGGTAAGTGGTAAGTTGTCTCCACACAGATGAAACTCACACGTGTAACTTCTAATGGTTGTCTAATTGCACTGAATGAAATAGTAGAAGTTTGATATAATAGTGAAGTTTTATAATATGGTGGTTAAATAGGCCTCTGGATAAGGTCTGTCACTTGACTGTGCTTTAGTTTCCACATCGCTAAATAAGGGGTAGTAAAATAGTAATATGCAATAACACATGGTTATTGTGATTACTTAAGATTATTAAGATTATTTAAGAGTATTTGAGAACATAACATAAAATGCTTAGAATAGTATCTAGCATGTAGTAAACACATAAATGTCAGCTATTGGATTTTATTTATTCTTTTTTAAATTTGTCTTCCAATTTTTCTTGTTGCAGTTTAAAATTTTTTAAGTGAATACCAAGGAGATAGGAAGAAAAGAGGAGTAGGATTCAGACCTCATCCCACTCTTCCTAACAATATATGAAGTAAATCAGTATTCATTGTACCAATGTAGATGTTAGGGCAATTTCAAATGAAGGGAAGAAGAGGATTTAATGAATGGCTGTACAAGTACAAAGGGTATAACTTGGAAAAAGATGCCAACTCCAGAGTATAAGCAGTTAACAGAAGGAATTTTATAAGAAAAGGATGGATTGACAAGAAAAAACATAGTGCTCACAGTATTAAAAAAAGACTACTTAGTAATTGCCTGACAAAGTACTTGAAATGTAGAGTGAGGCTGTTGAATGTATTGTGAGGTACTCTTAGCTAAATAGAAGAGAGCACTGCAAATTTTTGTTATTCAAGATCCCAAGTCTGATTGAAAAACAAATTTAAATAAATTATTTTGATTTTTTTTCGGGTGGATCGCTCAAGGTCAGGAGTTCAAAACCAGCCTTGAGCAAGAAGCGAGACCCGTCTCTACTATAAAATAGAAAGAAATTAATTGGCCAACTAATATATATAGAAAAAATTAGCCGGGTAGTGGTGAGGCTCGATGGTCTGCTTTGTGAGGCGTTGGCCGCGAGGCTACTCCTGGGGAGGGGCGTGAGGCGAGGGAAGGGGAGTCGGCTGTGAGCCCAGGAAGGGTTGGGAGGGTGCTGTGAGGTCTAGGTTGTATCTGCCACGGGCTACTTGGCCATCAGGTCAACAGAGTGAGACTTGTTCCAACAACACAAATAAAAAGAAGATGACATATATTTAATTAGATTATCATTAGATGCTTATCATTAATGTATACCTTTCATGTGTGTAATGAATGGGGAGGCGCCAGCAGGACTTGGGTGGTGTGGTGGGTTGTTTTGTTGCTGGGTTTTTTGTTGTTTGGGTGGTTGTTTTTTTGAGTGGTTAGGGTGGATGGTGGGGGTGGGGTGTTTGGGGGGTGGGGGGTTGTTGGGGGGTGGGGGTGTTTGTTGTTTTTATTTTGGGGGGAAGGTTGGGGGATGTGGTTTGTTTTTGGTTGAGTTTTTGGTTGGGTGTGGGTGGTTTGATGGGTGGGGGGGTTGTTGTTTTGATTTTTTTGTGGGGGGTGTGATTACATGTGTTTAAGGATTCTTTGTGTGTGTGTGTGGTGTTTTGTGTTTTAGTTTGTTTTTTGTTTTTGGGTGGGGGTTTGGTGTGTTGTGGTAGGTCGGGGTGTTTGTTGTTGGTTGGTGTGTGTTGTTGTGTTTTGGGGGGGGTTGTTTTTGGTTGTTGTGGGTGGTTGGTGTGTGGTTTTTTTTTTTTTTTTTTTCGTGGTGTTCTGTTTGGGGTCTTGGGGGGGGGTTGGGGGGTGGTGGGGGGGGGGGGGTGGGAGGGGGTGATGGGGGGTGGGGAGGTGGTGGGTGTGGGAGGTGTTTGGTTTGGGTTTTTTTTGTTGTTGGTGAGGTGTTGGGGTGGGGGGTGTGTGGTGGAGGGGGGGTGTTTAGGGTGACTTTTGTGGGGTTGGGGGGTGGTGGGTGGGTTGGGTGGTGGGAGTTGAGTGGTTTGGGGGGTGTGGGTGGTGTGGGTGTTTTTTTGGTTTTTTGGGGGTGTGGTTGTTTGGGTGTTTGGTTTGGTTGGTGGGTTTTTGTGTGGTGATTGGGTGTTTTTGTGATTTATTGGTGTGGGGGGTGTTTGTGTTATTTGCAAAGGAAAAAAAAGCAATATTTAAATATTTTGGATGACTTCCAAAGGGATCCAGAGCACAAAAGTTAGGAACCCTTGTTTTAGATATATTTGGAACAATGCCTAACAGAGTACGCAGTAAAAATTTAGCCAGTTTTTGCCTTGATTTACCTCACCTTAACCAGAAAAACAAACCCACCTATGGGAGCAAAAGCTCTTCACCCAAAGCAAGCTTGTCGGCTGGGAATATCCTGGACAAGCCTACTGCCCTGCCCGTTCCAGGACAGAAGCTCCTAGACTGTACCTTATACACAAACTCCTCATCTTCTCCATGGCGTGGTGGGCTTGCAGGGGAAGCGTCAGCACCCGCACCTCCTCCTCCTCTTCCTGGGGCACTGGGCATGTTTGCTCTTCTTCAGCCTGTAGGAAAAACAAACACACAAACAAAACAACAAAAAACTCCGGGAGTCAGTCATCTCACAGGCTGTACTAGCCAGCCCTTTCCTGCAGAGGGTCCTGTGGCCTCTTCTCCAAAAGCGTGATACTTACTGAGTTTCCAACACTATAGTTAGAGACCTTGTTAATACTTCGCTGCAGTGAACGTTCTATTCAGCACACAGTAGACAGACTCTTAGGAAGACTAGCTTGGAGGAAGACAAGGTGAGCACACCAGCCCTAGGTGTTCTTTAAGACTGAGTGACCCATCCTTTCTCTAGGACAGTGGTTCGAACTTCCCCAATTTCCCAGAACAGTTCTCTCTTCCAGCCCACTGCATTTGAAAACAATGAAAAAGACACAAAGTTTCAGAGATTTCTTTTAAGGATAATTCTGTTCAGCCTCTGTTCACTGACTCTGGGGATGCATCATTGTGTATCCACAGCAGCTCCCAGGGAGTATCAGGGCCTCCAAAACCGGTTCCACAGAAAACAGCAGCACCGGCTCCTGGGCCAAAAGGGGCCCTCCGGGAGAGCACTCGCCTACAAAGCAGAGAGCCTTTCTCCCTCCATCCCAAGGCTCTGACCATGGCGATGGAAGGCCTGGCCGCTCGGCTCCTTCTCTGGGCTATTTGTCTCTCCTGTGGATGGTTCCTGGTAAATACATGGTCCCTCTTGGATTGGTGTTTTACAGATTCTGGCTTGCCTACCCAG